AGTTTGTTTTAGGTTTTTTCCGGTCTTCGAGGTTTTGGAAGGCGCCCAAGAGCTGCACTACCAACTCTTTACAATTGCCTGTAAACTGGCATAATAAATATATTATATATTATTATATCTTTGTTGGTGACTTACCTGCAACAACGGAGGACTGCGATTTATACGAATATTTCTCCAGATTTGGCATTATGACGGAGGTTTTCGTTGTAAAGAAGACGAAGGAGTGCACATCCGCCCGCTGTGGCTTTGTCGTTTTCCATGACACGGACGCGGCAATGAATATGTTTGACGCTCAGCCACATATGTTCAATGGGACCAAAATCACCGTTTCGGTGGCAAAGAATAGGAATTCTAAGGATCAAGATAAAAGGTAAGCAGTATGGCTACCGAAGCGAACGTTTTCCGTAAGTCACTTGGTAGTTCGTTTGGCCTGAGCCGTCGGATTCGACCAGACGTTTGGTTTTAGCTATAGGTAATAGTTGTGCAACGACAACTGTTTGATTTGCAGATTTTTGAAATTCTTTATGACAAATATGAACATTTCATAGGCATTCGCAGAGTTCAAGACATTACCAGAGCATGTATGAATGACAACGACACATTTACGTGTTAGCAACTAAGGTATTAATGTATCATCATAAGTCACTTAGGTGCTGGCTTAAAACCCAGCTACTTGTCGCATCAGTATTTTGCCGCTGCTTGATACAGCTGCGAGGGTTCTGGCTTATCAGTGGTTCCAAACGTTCTTATTGTGCTTTCTGGTGTCTACATCAGTTTTGACTGTTTATCTTTGTATTTTCTTAGAAATTAATCATTGGACGTGGTGCAGATCAGTATGTGCAAGGTCTACGCGCACACGCCAAAAGTTCATGTAAATATTTGGACCCATGTCCATCAGCTACTGTGGGATAACCGCGTAATATATTCACAAACTCCTTACAGACAGAGCACATTACCCATACCGACAACACAGGAACGAGCTTTCAAGTACTCAAGTACAAGTGACTGAAATTTTCCTGAATGCTTCCGGTTACAGTTATTTGCATTGAAGTTGCACGGCTTGGAAACAGTTAGCCTATCTTGCCTGACTTACGTCTTCATGTCAAAAGGGTTGTTAAAGTGCAGTGGTATCATTGATGGTCGTGCGACATAATCCCAAGACATTTCAGCCATGCTAGGAAGCCGGCTTTTTAAATAGTTTCTTTCTGCCCAACGATCAGTAAAAGATGTGTACTGAACGGGCACAATTGTTCGTTAAATCTACCCTCCCTTATATTACCATATTGCCTGAA